ATGACCCTACAAGAGTGTATAATTCTATTACAAAAAAATTTGAACAATGGTATGTGTTAAATTGGTCCACTAAATGACAAATGATTCATGATTATCTAATAATTTATCAGCAGAATCAAGTGCAAGTGGCCTAGCAGTACCAGACTCTTACCTTTTAAAGGGAGGTTAGGGGTACGAGTGTGTGAATACCAACTAAGAAAAATAAAATAAAATAATTTCTCAGCAGGAGGCCCCTCTCTCTTTCCTAAAATAATTTTTTTAAAAAAATAAAATAATGAACTCAACATGTTTAAATATGTTTAAACAGGTTGCAGATATTTTTTTTCTCTCTTTCAAAAGAGGGATGAGATAAATAGAACGAAGGAACAATTTAGGAAGTTTGAAGGAGTCATACCAACCAAAGGAAATAAGAAAAAAAGAACCAAACAAAACCAGCAGGATTACCAAAAAAAAAAAAAAAAAAAACAGAGCTGCCAGTGCCAGCAAAGCTCTACAAAGAACCAGCAAGAAAAAAACTAGTAAATAAAACCACCTCAAAAGAGAGCATACAATAAACAACGAACCTACTACAACCAATACCTTAAAAGAACACTAAATTGTGAATCATTCCCATAATGTGTTTCATCCCATGAATTACCAAAATGGCAAAATGGCAAGTTTTGAGTTTTCGAACTGTGACCCCACATGGGACACTCTTAAAACATCTGTTTTTCCATCAACATGCTAAAAGTAGATTAATTGTACTGGAGAAATTAATAAAGAGTTTTTCAGTTGATTCAGTGTTCTGTTTTTAAGTTATTGTTACAACATAAATCGGCGAACCAAGAACGCAATAAAAAAGCTGATAGAAAAGTATACACACACTACACAAAGATACAAAAATTAAAGTAGTTTGGGCATAATTTAACTCTACTTTTACGGGATGAAAATATGAGATTACATGTTTAAATTGTAAAAATGGAAACAATTTTCTGTTCTCAATAGAAAATTGTACCAAAAAAACCCTACTTAATTCATTTTTTTGAAAACTCAGTGATAAAAATATACATTTTTCAGATAATTATAAAAGATCTGAGAACAGTATTTTGTTTATTGAATTTTTGAAAACTATTTTCAGGATTACAAACCAAACAGGCTCAAGTTTCATTTCCTACCATAATTTTTCAAACCCTAAATGCTCTTGTATATTGATAGCAATGTAAGTTCTATAATTGAGTTCTCTACCTGTAAAATTTAAATAAAAAAAAAGAAAAAAAAAAAAAGAAAAGAAAAGAAAAGAAAGAATGTTGAAATAAAATTCAAACCACAACTTTAGAGTTACTCTAATTTATTCAAGAAACTCATATCTAATCAAGAAAACCCGGCAACTACTTTTTATTTTCACAAGTGCTTGGAAGTAATGGACATTCTGTTTTACCATATTGTGAGCCCCCACCAGATTGAAGCGAGACAGAGATCCAGCTAAGACCCCAAATAGACCTGCATAATTTATAAGTAGTTGTTACCCATAGAAGTGCTTTAATTTGGTCCCCTCCTCTGTTTCAAGGACAAGCTATTTGCAACCATGAATTCAGTGTCCACTGCACCTATGCCTTACTTGTTCTGTCTTAAACTAAGACCTTCGTGGTAAAAACATTAAAATGAAAAAATAAAAAAATAATAAAAAGAAAAAAGAAAAAGAGGTAGAGCCATAAAAGCTTGTGCAAGTTAAACCCCGTCTAAACCCTTTCCAAGGACAAACAAAAAGTTAACTAAAAACAAATAGTGATAGATCTGCTTTTGGCTGACAGATCTCAGTAATATCGACCAAGATTCGGAAAAGTAAAAGAAATTGTATCTCAGTGATCACATACTGAGTGAGATCGACAAAGATTCGTATGGTAAAAAGTTTCTGTCATATATAAATATGGGTGTGTATATGATATGAATGTATATGTGTGTGTGTGTGTATATTTATGGGGATCGTAAGTGGTTTTTGAGGTTTAGTCTTTTTCAGTGCATGGGCTCTGTTTCCCAGTCAGGCCCTTTACTTACAGTAATCATTGCCTTTCTCTTATCCTCATCTGCATGGACGACTGTCCCTGTTTCTCACCCTTCTATGAACAATGACTGTTACTACAATGACACTTCTTCTCTGCACTCCGATCATAGCTTTTTACACATTTTTGGATAATTTGCAAATTTCAATTTCTCAACTTTCAAACATTTTCAAATATGTTGATACAAACTAACTCCTCAATTATCTAAAAATTGTCACTTACCTTCCATTTTATTCAGGTATGTCCTAATTTACCATTAATTTTGCCCATTTTTATTTTTTTTTTTGGAAAAAAAAAAAAAAAAAAACCCCTCAACTTTCAAAGATTTGTAAGGGGTAATTTGCAACATTTCTCAATTCTTTAAGGAAGTTAGGTACAAAAAGGAATGCCAAAGAAGAATAATCTACAAAAGTGTTAAAGTTTGGGGAGTTTTTTTTGTTGGTTACCAAAAGGGTGTTACATGAATTTTACAACTTAAAATCACATGTTTGTATGCAAGTGGATACTATTTTATCCATTCCCTATCCGTCCACAAACTGCAGGGGATGATTTATAGAATATCTTAATTAATACTCCTATTTTACTACTAATGTTTTGGGCTAAATCTATGAAATTGTGGAAGTTTAGGGGTGTTTTTTACAATGCACTCTTACATTTATGTTTACTTTGAATAATTCACCTGTGGTGGTGGTGGTGTAAGGAGGCCGCGGTTGGTGCTGGTGGTAGCGGAAGGTGGCGGTGGTGGTAGGAGTATAAGTAAGCTGCTACAACAGAAAAGGGCAACATCAAAATAACGGTGCCTAAATTGTAAAGAAAGTGGCAGCAAGTGGCCCCCGGGGGCATAGTAGTGATGGTTAGAGCTTGGGCTTCCACATCCGCGGCCCGGGTTAGACTCTTAGCCTCTGCGTTCCCGGACTCACCCGGAGGTGTCCTTGGGCAGGGCTCCACCCCCTAGGTTTGTACCCCATGATGGGTCCCTAAGGGACCCTACGTGGGGGAGTTTCTGAGTTATCCGAAAAAAAAAAAAAAAAAAAAAAAAGTGGCAGCAAGTGGCATTGTTTTGAGAATTTTTTTTTTATTTATTTTAGGATGTCTGGAGACAAAACATGGTTATTGTTGAGGTTGCGGATGCTATTCCACTCAGAAGGATTACAAAATGATTTGGACTGGTTCATAATATTTCGACCAGTCCAACTGCTGCTGTGGATGAAGATTTGGGTTACCGTCCAAAATGGACCGGTTCAAATATTATGGACCGGTCTATTTGGATGTGGTGTAAATTATTTAGTCAAAATGAACCTGTCCAACTTTTTTAGACCAATTCATTTTTGACAGTGATTTCATCAAGATGGACAGGTCCATCGTTTTTGGACTGGCAAGTTGCGAAACTTAGTTTTCTAAGTTGATTTTTTTACTCTCCAAAGGACTATACTTGTGGGGCAAGTTGTGACCAACCCTAATCAGACTTTAGGGGATGTGAAACATATGGTAATTTGTGTGCAAAAGTGATTAAAAGTTCTGCAAGAGACAATTTAGGGACAATTGTTTGAGAATTGTACCTTAATTGTTGAGAAATTTTGTGTCTAGAGAGAGCAAACTAATATTTTGAGAGAAAGGTCTCCATTATAATCCTATATACTTTTGAGTAATGATACTTACACCGATGAATTAGGCCGAATTGTTAGACCTATTATATTTGATTCGTTAATACATATCAAATATAAAAAAGTAGGACCTCCACTTTCTTATTTAATACATTAATGACTAATCAAATTTAGTAGGTCTAACGATTCTGCCTAACTCATCGATCTAAGTATCATTATTCTATACTTCTATAAAGAAATTTGTTCGTCTTGTGAACGTAACTCTTAATTTCGGATGAAAACCTGAAACTGCTTTTTATTTTGGATAAGTCATTTAAAAAGTCTTGGCATCGAAGAAGTGGTGGTGGATATAACAAGAATGGCCCTACTACTACGCAGCTATAATTGATTATTTAACACCAGCTTACTAATTGGCATTATCCAATATATCCATTTGTCCCATATAAAATCTCATATTTGACATTATAAATTTTTTTTTTTTTTTTCCAAAACAGACGACTCTGAAACTTGAATCAGTCAGAGTAGCCTAGAATCCAAGAGTGGCATTTAATCATGGATCATTCAAATCTAATGCTCGAATTATTAGATGTTAAAAAAGACAAATTTTATCCTTTAAAATCAATAATTTGTCAAAAATAAATATTTTTTCTTTCCTCCTCTCCTTTCCTTTCCCTTCCCTCTTTCTGCCTCTTATCCTGCACTGTTCTTTTCTCTCCTATCACAGTGATTAGATTATAGTATTAGACTTAACTTAATTTTGCACAGATAAGTGCACAACTAAATAATTTTATTAATAATTTCAATATTAGTTGAACATTTAATCTAATATCAATTTTTTTCAACCATCGTTTGTCTTTTCAACGTTAATGGTACTAGTTATCGGATTTCTCACCTTGCTCTTTACCCCCAAGTAACTTTCCAGTTATACAAGTACTCAAAACTTGTGTTATCTGACACTTCTCATTTTCTTTTATTTTGCATCTCCCTACTTCTACTCTTTATATATATATTGTCATCATCTAAGTTACACAAAGAGGGAACGAGAGCATAAGAACGATAAAATCTAAGTCACACAGAGCGAAGTAAGAGAGGGAGCGCGTAGAGCGTGCAACCAACACTCATACAAAAAAATTGTGACTTAGGTCATAATATTGGGTCACACTGTCACAGCATACACAGGATGAAGAAGGTCTCAATGTGTGCCTCCCATACGTGTAAAACACTAAAATTTGATCTAACACTCTATTTCATGGTTTCATAGAATCATTAGCAGTATGTACTACATTGTTATATAAAGTTTATGGCATCGAAATTCAGACATGATCCTAGGTTTCTTAATAAGAAATTCATCCTCTCCTGAACAAAAAGGTCAAAATCTACAAATTCATGTGATTATTGGTGTATACAACTTAAAATTCTTCGTTTTAGCTTATAAATTTATTGTTTGTTTACCATACACTTCTCTATTAATACATATATTGTACAGTAAAATTACCCGCTATGAATAATCTTGCTCTGCTATGTAGTATATACAATTTCCCTACACTTCAAGCTACATCCTTGTTACATTGCTCCTTCACAATTTATGCAAGTTTTTTCCTTCTAGTTTGAGTTGCTGGATTCTCTGGCGTAGTCTTCGCCGGTGGTCATGAATCTTCCAAAGACCATGTCCCAATATAACAGCAGAATATATGCCATGTGTAATGATGGGCGCAAGAATATTATTCGTCTGTTTTACATGCATCAGTACATAACCAAAACGATCCATCAATTCTCAGCCTCTTGAATTTCATAAAAGAAAATAAGATCAAAGACAGTAACTACAACATAAATTTAGTTATACCCGAATCCATTCGAATCCGAGGTAAAGGGCTAAAAGCCCTTCCAGCAGGGGAGAGATTTTTTTTTGGGACGATGAAGCAAATATATTGATAAAAAATACGATATACAAATGGGCCTAAGAAAGGCCCAAAAAAAAGATGCAGGACAAAACCAAACCCAAATTGAGCATTGGAGAAAAGAAGAGCTAGAAAAGCCCAACAAATTGAGAGAGACAGCCATTGCTAACAACTGTAGCCGTTAGGAATGGATGTCCCAACAAATCCAACAACAGCAAATTTCAGTAACAAGACTGGTTACAGCCAAACTGAGACTTGGCCTCTACCTACAAGTCAGGGGGAAGTGGCGGCGGACGAACTGCAGCCGGAGAGTAGACCCATTCCATAACTAATTGAGAGAAGTTTTCATTGTTGTGGGATCTAAGGGCATCTGCAATTGAATTACATATGAGCTTCAAGACTGATGACTGCGAAGAAGAGGAGGTTCTAAATACCTTCTTGTTCCTTTCCTGCCAAATATGATACACCATGGAGGCTAGGGCTAGTCGACACATATGGGTTCTGGGATTAGATTGATTCCAGTGATGCGTAGCCCAAGTAACAAATTGTGGCCAATTACTGCTTCTTGTGTAGAACCTGCACTTGTCTTGAATAAACTTCCAAATTGGGGAGACGAATTCACAATTGAAGAATAGATGGAAATATGTTTCAGGGAGGGATGAGCAAAGATGGCATACATTGGGTGATTCAAGGTAAGACATGCATTTGGAGTCTAGAGTGGGAAGTTTATATTGGACTGTAATCCACAAAATCAGTTTCTGCTTGGGAATGGCAATGGAGTTCCAAACTAACCTGGACCAAGGTGCTGGGTTATGGGATTAGGAAATGGTTGCTATGGTATGTTTAAGGCTGTATTTCCCTGTGGGTCCTGCTGTCCAAATGAATTGGTCTTGTGTTAAGGGATTAGGAGGTTGGATGTTGTTTAGTTCAGGGAGGGTGGAGGTGAGTGTGGGAGGGAAGCTCCATGAGGTACCATTGATAAAGTCTCCTACCATTGCATTGGATGAGATACCTGCTAGTTGGATGATGGAGGAGGGATAGTTTAGGGAGAGGAGACCCCTGTCAAGCCAAAAATCATACCAGAAGTGGGTGGATTCTCCATTGCCTACCATATGTTTGATTAGTTTCCTTGCAAATGGCCTCAGTTGTAGTATCTTCCTGCAACTCCAAGAGCATAATTGTGGAATTTTGAGTGCCCAAAAGCATTGATCCTTGATAAGATAAGTCTTGCACCAGAGAATTCAAATTCTTTGATTCCTACCTGTTTTAAGCTCCCAAATGTGTTTAAGGATTGCAGCTCTGTTTGCGGCTTTAAGGTTGGGAAGACCTAGACCTCCATTGGTGATAGACTTGTAAACATTGCACCATTTAACCCTAGCACCAGTCTTCTTAAGGTCTGGACCAGTCCATAGAAACCTTCTGAGTAGTGCAGTGAGCTCATTAATTACCTTCTGTGGCAGTATGAAGATACTAGACCAGTTGTGTGGATACAAGCACAGATTTGATGAGAACAAGTCTTCCAGCATAGGAGAGGCTTCTAAAGGACCAATGGTGAATTCTTGCTGTGATTTTCTCAATCAAAATGTTACAATTTGGAGCTTTGAGTCTTGTAGAAATGAGAGGAACACCAAGGTGCTTTATGGGGAGAGAGCCAATTCCAACACCAAAAAAGTTAGAGTAGAGAAGCTCATTTGTGTGGTCAATGCCTGAAAAGAAGACTGAACTTTTTGTTAGGTTTATGGTTAGTCCAGAAAGTGAGGAGAAGAGATCCAGGGCTGACTTGAGGATGGATATGGATGTGATATCAGCATGGCAAAAGAGGAGAAGGTCATCGACAAATGAAATATGTGTGATTCCAACCTCCTTACATCTCCAATGGTATTTGAATCTAGGTGCTTGGGAGATAATCTTTTTGAGGATACCTGAAAGAATTTCCATGGAGATGACAAATAGTGTAGGGGACAATGGATCTCCTTGCCTTAAACCCTTAACACTATTAAAGTGACCATGCAATTCTCCATTAATGGCTATGGTAAAGGAAGGAGTTGTGATACAGGCTTTAATCCATTGTATAGTTTTGGCTGGGAAGCCTAACAATGCAAGGGAATCAAGGATGAAAGTCCAACTGACTGTGTCAAATGCTTTCATAAGATCCACTTTCCAACCACATCTAAGGGATGGTGTAGAGGCATGATATCCCCTCATCAGTTCATGAGCAAGGAGAACAGAATCTGTGATTTTCATTCCCTGGACAAAGGCAGTTTGTGTTGGCTCAATTATATATGGGAGAGATGGTTGCATTTTCATTGCAATGAGTTTTGCAATACATTTATAAATAACATTGCAACAGCTGATTGGTCTAAAGTCATTGAGAGTGGTTGGATTTTGGCACTTGGGAACTAGGGATAAGTAGGTAGAATTGTATTCTTTAAGAAGCTTACCATTTTGAAAGAACTCATTGACTGCCTTAGTGATGGTACCACCAATAATTGGCCAGCCTTTGTGGAAAAAATAGGCATTAAAGCCATATGGACCAGGTGCTTTGTCTTTGCTGATAAAGAAGATGCATTGCTTACTTTCAAGGTCTGTGGGAATTGATTCAAGGAGTGAGATGTGCTGGGGAGGGATGGTTTTGGTTATGAATGGTCTAAGGACTTCTTGGCCATGGTGAATAGGTGCATTATCACCTAGGAGGTGCTCGAAGTAATTGAGTGCTTCATTTTTAATGCCTTCTTGAATAGTTATAGGGTTACCAGTGGTTGAGGTGAGACTCAGGATCCTTTTAGAGTTTATCCTTGAGAGGAAGTATTGGAATCGCCAAGTTTCAGCCAAGTGACCCTTGACTTTTGCCTAATTCACTATAAGAAATTTGGTTTTTGGGGACAGTCCATTTTGTCCCTAAAAGCCCTAATACCGTCCCTAATGATCGAATTTGACCGTCCCTAATAGTTGCGTCACAAAAGCTTTTTATGGACAGTAAAAATTGTCCGTCCCTAAAAAAATCAACCTTTAGGGACGGACTTACTATCCCAAATAGGACCGTCCCCCTTTGACTTATTAGGGACGGACTTACTGTCCAAAATAAGACCGTCCCCTTTTGATTTATTAGGGACGGTATTTACTGTCCCTAATAATTAATATATTAAAGACAGTTTATTGTCCGTCCCTAATACAATACTTATTAGGCCCAATTTGTACTGTACCTAATAAGATTTATTATTATTATTATTATTATTAAATTTGTGACCGTTTATACTGTCCATGATACTTGATTATTATTATTATTATTATTTTTCCTCTATTGGATTTGTGTTCTAGAAAAACTACTAAATGACATCCACCTTATATATCAAAACATTGGAACTAAAAAGTACACACATCCACAATATCATTCTAGAAAGAAATATATATATTATCACGACAATACAATGCCAACAAACGAGCTCTTAATCTCACGAAGAAGTTACAAATTCTCTAGTTTTGTAAACAAGAACTAAAAAGTATTTACTAGCTGTTTTAACATCAAATGGTTTCAAACATCCTCAAAAATTAAAACATCATTTTAAATTGAATGCAGTCATGAAAATGTTGTTGCTGCAGCTGCTGTTGCTGCTCAAGTAGCTTCTGAATTGTATCCAACTTCTCTTCCAAACCAAAGGTGCTTCCCACGCTTAGCGGAGAACCTACTATATTCTGGACCGGAATCATATCACAAAGGATAAACTGAGCTGAGCTACCTATCTCCAGTGCATTAGAGCAACACATAACATAAAACACTAACTATCAACAAACATCATTTTCCGTATGACATGTGAATATTGAGGGGATATTGTTGCATAAATAATTTCATCATTTACTAGAACTGCTTTATTAAGTATTAGCCTTAACATGATAATTAAGGACAGACTAGTTGTGAGGAAATAAACTTACTGAAACCGATGAGTAAACATTCTCAAGCTGTTTAGCTATAAAAGTGTATGCATCAGATATGCAGCGCCTTGTAGCGAACATCATATCAGGAAGTTTCCAACACTAAAACAAAAACCTGATCTCTTAACCTGGTAATTTTTTAATTTTCTGTATTAAAAAAAAAATTACAAGTATTTGACATGAGTATAAACAAAATAAATAAATAAATAAATTAGGTGTATAACCTGTCCTAAGTCATGCTCAAGCCCTTTGCTGGAAATGGATATTCTTCGTGGTCAAGGTTTGGCACATCTTTTTCCAAATAAAGAATAGGCTAACAAAGTAAAAACAAAAAGAAAAGAAACAAACCAATGAATGTTTGGGACCATGTCAGAATATTTGAATTTCAATTAAAAAAAACATTGTAAGCCATAGTTCTTTTAAAGTTCTCTTTTGAAAATCCCTTAGTTTATTGGCATGGCCATGGAACCAAGCCTCCCTACTACCAACCAGTGCATTGAGATAATATTTGCTATCAATGGAAGGCTAGGCAGAATAAGAAAAAAGTAAATAGAGAAAGAAAGCTATCTTTTTACTCTCTTCTTTGTTCATATAAATAATTCTCTCCTTTTACATTTAGTGTTAATTGAAATAAAGTTGAAGTTACTACTCTACCAATGTGATAGCCCATTAACCCATTACATAAACACGATACCACGGAAATTTCAGAGGACACACAACTTTAGTACTAAGGTTTCCACAAAAGGGTTCATCACAGGGTTTAGCTTTGACACTAAGTTTCCTATTTGTGGGCCCTTTTTAATAGCCTTATCTAAGCCCACAAAATCCAAGGAAAAAGAGATCTCCATTTTTAGATGTTGCATTTCTCAAGTGGGATTATTCAATGTGTCATGGAATGGCAGGACTAGAGTGTGATTAATTTCTGTGTTAGTATTATGTTTCCTTTTCAACCACACTGAATAGATACTATTACTTGATCATGGAGTTTCAGTGCTAAAATGTCATGAACAGATAGATCAACTACTCTAATATGTGTGTGTGTGTATATATATATATATTAATGGAGACATGATTCACAGTTCACACAAATAAGACATAATCAAGTTTTTTTTTTCCTTAAAGAGTCTAAGACAATCAAGTTCACTTATGACATTTTTATCTCTCTTTAATAGATGCATATATACTTGCTAACAAGATTTTGAAGCCATAACTAATGCTAAAATAAGAAGAAAAAAATGTTACGACACATATGTTTTGGGAAATTAAAACAATTAAACAAATAAAAAAGAGCTCAAGGAGAAAAATATTCACAATAAATAGCACAAAAGCTAGAATTTATGATAAAAGATATGTATCCCATAATCTATTTTCTGTTGTGTTCTCAAAAACCAACTCACAACTAGGAACATTCTTTCCTATTCTTCTTAGTAATTGGAAATTAATACCAGTAATCGTCCAAGAAAAGCTATTTCACTACTAATAGATTTCTATATAATTATATGATATACATACAATCACAAAAAGAATGAAAATAAATCAAACATGTTATCAGACCACTTATGGGCTTAGAATTTTACTGTCATTCCCCAAAAAAAAAAAAAAAAAAAAAAAAAAATTTATTTTCCCTATTTTTCCCATAGCAACAAATTAAGTCAAATGGAAACAAATTAATGTTGAATTAATGAGCTTGAAAATTTCATTTACTTGTTAATAAGGATGAGAACACAATAATTTGAAAACTAATTAGGACAGCTAGCTAGATTCACCTTGAAGGGTTGCTCGATCAAAAGCCCATGAGAGTCATTGTCTTGATGCACATTTGATCTTGGATGCTGAATTGATAGCTCAGACCTTTTAGGGTTCTCAATATCAAACATTAAATCCTCAGAATTATCTCCGGATGACCCATTATCAAACACATCTGATTGACCTAAATCAACAAAAATAAATAAACCCCAGTATGTTTACATCCTTCCAATTAATGTTTCAAAATAATTCATAGAAATAAGCATAAAAGAGCTATAACAAAAGAAAGCAAAGTACAAGCTATAACAAAATATAACTAAATTTAACCCACCTACTTCTCATATTTACATTTTCTTCCACAACCCATGAATCTTTCTTTCATTTATAATTCTTTTAATTCTAAATTTTTATTTTCCACGGCCAGAAATCAAATTTTGTTCTTTTCTACAATTTTTTTTTTTTTTTTTTTTTTAAAAATTTCTACATTTCTATATCAATCAAAGAATAGTAATAAAATAAAATAAATTTCAGTTTTGGTATAACTCAATATATAACATAAATCAAATAACATTAATAAAGTTTCAAGACATCACACAACACTTAAAGAAGATATGCTTAAAGATCGAAGATATTAAAGACAAAGGAGAAAGAAATACCTTTAAAGTTGAATGCCATTAAGTCAATATAAAGACTTCTACGCAAGAACAAAGAGGCATTAGAATTATGTGACTTATCTGTCATTATCATTTTTTTCAGTCTACTTCTATAGATACCTTCCTTTCAAACTATTGTTTTTTGTTACTCTGTTAGCAAAGAAATTCCATCAAAAAAATAGGTGATATTTTAGACTACATTAAAGACCAAATAGAAAATCACAATCAGAATCTAGTTAAGTTTCCAAATAAGCAAGAAATTAAAATTTAATAGCTGCGATGGATAATAGCAAGCCTAAGGAGATAGAAATTAAAATCAAAGACTAATAGAAAAACTAAACCAAGAGGTAGATATAATTAAAGAAACGTAAGCAAGAAATTAAAATTTACAGAATATATATATTTACCTAGTGGAAGCCGAGAAACAGGCGATGACGCTGATCCTCTGTCCACTTTCATATTAATGCACTCTCCACAAGCTATAACAAAAGAAAGCAAAGTACAAGATTCTTGAAGAAAAGGGAAAGTCAAAAAGGGGCAATTTTCTTCTCATCTTCTTAAGTAGGAACAGCTCCTAAGCAACAATCCAAGATTGGAATTGAGTTCAAGCTTTCCCTAGATCTAGACCTTAAAAAGAAACTTGAAAGGAAAATTAAGTCTAAGCCGTCAATATAACAACAATTTTTAGCTTTTAATGACTTGCTTGAAAAATAACTTGTGAATTAGCACATAGACGACTTGTTTTTTTATGCATGTAGTCAATTAAAGGTTGTAAAATATTAATTTTCTTGTAGTGTATATGTATATAAAGGATATATATACATATATATATGGGATAAATTAATAAAGATAGAAAGTTCAAAAAACCTGTATGATTTTCCACAGCGATTCAGACTCATATGACAAGCCTTTTCTAGATTTGTAATTTACCCCTTCAATTGTTAGGCCTTTTGCAATTTCGAAACCCTAGAAAAAACTAGGGTGAGGATCATGAAACCCAAGTGGGTTATATGAATGTCAAAACGGAAAATGGAGGTTCTCTGAAAATCGAAGAAAAAGGCTCAAATTTGAATAATCCCTAAAAATTTTTAAAAATAAAAACGTTGTACCTCAGGATCATAATCTTGTGATTCGCTGAAGATTGAAGACTCTTTGAACAGGTGCTATTGAATTCGGTGAAAATCAAGCCCAAAGAATGTTTGATTACGAGGTATGGTCTTCAGATTTCGTGCCAGTGGAAGGCGTCTGCAACTTTTGAGATCGAAGAATTGAAGAGGTTTGTGACGGTGTAAGAGGTTTGCAAATGATATAGGGTTTACTAAATTTTTTTAGATTAAAACGACGTAGTTTGATGGGCTTCCCTATTTTGTAAAATAAAATAATTTTATATGTTTCATTTTTGCCCGCGTACAATGGCGCCAAACAAAAGAAAATTGAAGCACTAAGTTTGGCGCTATTTTTTTTTTTTTTTGGTGGAATTAGGGACGGTCTTAGATAGACTGTGCCAAAAAGAAACGTTTGTAAGGACGGGTTTTTGAGGTTTGGTGACGTATCAAATTGACCGTCCCTAAAGGCTGTTATTAGGGACGGTAAAATTTGCTCGTCCCTAATAATAAGATCTTTAGGGATGAGTTTTAGAGATATGGTGACATATCAGATTGACCATCCCTAAAGGCTGTTAATAGGGACGGTAAAATTTGCCCATCCCTAATAATAAAATCTTTAGGGACAGGTTTTAATGCGCCACTAAAAGACTGTCCCTAATAGCCTAATTTCTTGTAGTGATTACATCCTCCTCAACTAACAGAAGTTTGGAATGTTCTAATGAGAGGGCTTTTTCAAGGTTCCTGAGGACTATATCTGAGGGATTGTGGTCAAGCTCTGATTGGTAGCAGTCAAGTTCCACCTTGATCTTGGAGATTTCCTTTTGCAAGTTTGTGAAATTTTCTCTACATACTTCTCTTAGAGGCTGCTTTAAGGATTTAAGCTTTTGGACAGCTTGGAACATTGAGGTTCAATGAATGAAGACTTTCCATTTCCTGTCAACAATGGGGAGAAAAGGGGGATGGGAGTACTATGCATTGAAGAATTTAAATTGGATTGTTTTGTGAGAGTTCTGTGTAATGGTGAGTTTAACAATCATGGGGCTGTGGTCTGAGCCCCCTTGTGGGAGAAAGGTACATTCTGATTGGGGAAACATAATGTGCCATAGGGGGTTAATAAGCACCCTGTCCAACTTTTTGGCAATGCAGGCATCACCATGACTTTGGTTATTCCATGTAAAGAAGATTCCCTTGTATCTCAGATTTTCAAGCTCGGCATCAATAAGGCAGTCTCTGAATTCAGCTATTGCAGGTATGATTCTGTTAGAGCCTCCATTTTTCTCATTGGTATTGGCAATGATGTTGAAATCCCCCATTCCAAGCCATGAGGATGAAGAGGAGAAGGTGGAGTGGGAAGTAAGGTCCAGCCAAAGAGCCCTTCTTTCAATTGCACAGTTGGAGCCATAAACAAATGAGATGTTAAATAAGATAGAGGAGCCAATGATGGAAGTGGTGCAATGGATAACTTGTCTTGACTCAGAGAGAACAGTAAGATTGATCTTGTTTGGATTCCACATTATCCATATACTTCCTAAGTGGGAGGGAGTATAGTTATAAGTGACTGACCAGTGTGTAGCAATTCTTTTGTGAATGGAATTGATTTTTGCCAAGGCAACCTTGGTTTTAATAATGGAGAGAATGTCAATTTTGTGCTCAGAGATCAATTTTTTGATCTCCAACTGCTTTAAGAGGCCATTTAGACCTCTAATATTCCAACCAAGGATGGAAATCATTGGGAAAGGGGTTTAGTGTTACCTCTCAAGTACCTTAGACCATTGGAGCTGGAAGGTACAAACTCTTGGATGAACTTTGCTTTTTTGCTTTTGAATTTCTTTAGTTCATTCTTTTTTGTTGTAGCTGCAGGTTCATCATGCAGAAGTGTTGCCTCATTTAGATTTCCTGGGGGTACATCCTCATCCTGAACACTGGAGGGAGGTGAATTATCTGTAGACACAGCTTCTTCAATCATGCATCCATTTTGGAGTGGAGAAAATATATTCCTGAATGCAGCAAAGGTTGAATCAGTGGGACTTGGGATGCTGGTTTCTTGTTTGTTCTTGGTTTGGTTAGTGATAACTTGGATGTTAAAGGAGGAGAGATCAATTGTTATCTTGTTTTCCCCATGGGAGTGGTCCAAAGGGGAGTTGAGAGTGGTGTTTGAGGGCCTTCTGAGGAGTGAGGTGGGAAGTGAGTTTTGTTGGGGAGATTGTGGGATGGAGTGTGATGGTGAGTCATTGGATGAGGAGGGATCAGAAGTGATTGTTTTCCCCTTCCTCTTTTTAGAAACAATTTCCCAATTATCATGATGATTGTTGGGTGAGATTTGTGTTATGGAGCTTGGATTGTACAGAGCAGTAACAGGGCAGGTTGACTCATTGTGGAAAAGGGTATTGCAGGTCCTACAGAACTTAGGAAGCCACTGATATTCAACACCAATGTCAATGAAGGAGTTGCAGTCCATCTTGAGCTTGACAGTGCTTGGCAACGGTTGAGCCATGTTGACTTCAATGCAAATTTTAGCTTCTCCCTTTCTTTAGTTGCTCTGTCAGCATAAAGGGGGATGCCAATATTGCTTGCAATGATACTGAGCCCTTTGCCAGTCCAGTAATTCTTTGGGATATTATAGAACTTGACTTATATTGGTAAAATTGTGTTGGGGTTAGAGGATAGAGTAGAGGGTGAAGATTGATCCATTTTTCTGAGAATGAGAGGCTTGCTTACTATGGACCATGGGCCATGAGCAAAGATATTATCAACAACTCTTTTGAACTTGAACCCGAATAAGTAGGAGCCATTTTCCCCTGCAATGGTGGCTGTTAGTCCATGGTGGCTCCAGAGTCTTTGTGCTGCAACTTGCATAGCTTTAAATGGGAGTCTTTTGTGGGGGTATATACCAACAATATGGTAGGAAGACCAAAAGAAATTTCCTTCTTGCACAATCTCCAGCGGAGGATCAACGTAACCTGCTGAGGGGGGTGCAATAAATTCAAGGGCCATTACATCTGTGGGACTGTGAGTTCTAACAATATCCGCCCAGGTTTTGTTAAATTGGTGGATAGGGACAACAGTGGTAGTGGTGATGCGAGTTGGTAGATGTGGTGAGGGGTTCACTGTGGGAATGATAGTGTCACAGTCAATACTTTTGACTAACTAGCCATTTGGGGTAGAACAGATAATCTTTTGGTGAGTTGGTAAGTTGCCAGAGCATACAATAGGGGTGAGGCTATGATGTAGCTGTGACATAAGGGGACATGTGGGTGAGTTTGAATTCTAATTCAAATTTGAATTTGTATGTGGAGGTGTGTGACTGACGTGGTGGTTGGGGTGGTGGTGGAGGGTTGTGCAGTTTTGCTGTTGCTGTTCCGGCAGATGAGGTGGATGAAGGGATTCATCATCATGTGGGGAGGTGATGTGGTTTGGTTATTTAGTGCGTAAGGTTCATTCTCGGCAAAAAGCTTGGTTACTCCATCCTCACCAGCCCGTAGTTACCTAAGTTCAGTGACTATCTCTTTCAGCTCAAGGAACAGAGTTGAGAACCCATAAGCCTCCTTTAACATACCTTGGACCTTCACCAGCTCCAACTCCTGTTCCTGAAGAAGAGACTTGAGCCTTGCAATTTCTTCAATGAGCTCAAATTTTTCAGCATCCATAACCGCCGCATCAATGCCATCAAGAAGTAAGACCACATCGTGAACTTCAAGCCCAGAGGGGTTTAAGAGCCTGTCATTTTGCAATGCACGCCTAACCTTTTCTTTCGTAACTCCTGTAACTGAAGGTGAACGTGGAAGTAGGTGATTAGGATCATTATGTCTTGATGTGTTGGAGGAATTTTTCTTGTCCACAATATTTTTCGTGGGTGGAAGTGGTGGTTTGGCTGTATTAAGGGTTTTGAGATAAGTGACAACTTTTTCTTGTATAGGACGGGAGGGTATTGTTTTGTGACTATTGTTTAGGTTGGATGGAGTCTGATACAGTTTGAGAGGGTGGTGGAGGGATTTTGAATTGTTAGCTGGTAAGAATGGTGGTTTTAGATGATTCGATGGCCGGCGATGGAAGTCAGGGGGTTTCATGATAGAGAGAGAGAGTATGACCATAGAGTTGTGTCCAGTTTCTTTGTTTATGTGAGAGTATATCTTTTTCATTTGTCTCCTCTCGTACCATGCTGCAAAATATTCATAAAAAATATGAGAATATAATTCAAATGGCGAGTAGGACATCTTAAGCAGCATGGTCATTTACATAAAAATTGAATCTTAAAAAACATGATGATTAAGGAAATGAACTACAAAAAATCAGATCGTATACGATATTTTTCAACTTTTAGAAAACGAGTATGCATTGTTTGACAAAAATGAGGCGAAAGTGAGAGACGATTCACTGATTAGTTCTAAATGTTTGAAAATGCATTAAAATAATTGTTGAATACCACTTGGCGTCGCTTAGATGTCCTGTAGATAATGAAATCATTCTACCATTTCTCATAATTAAATAAACTCAATATTCATGAATATCACGAGAAATCAGAAGCATCATAATTCATGAAATATTACAATAATGTTTACTACTAAAATTAATATCTATCAACCATTATGGTTGGGCCACTTTGGTAGCTTCCAACATTTACATAATATGAATATTAAATTAGCTAGTAACAAATTTATGATTAATTATATCTACTACAAAAATTAATATTCATCAATCATTATGATTGGGTTTCCAATCTTCACATAATATGAATATTAAATAAGACACTGATTAATTCATCATTAAGTTACCCATTTAACATTATACATACATTTTAGTGATTCCAATTTTGCCATTTTTCGATTTTTGGAGTTTTCTGATTTTTCAAGGGCATTTTTGTTTTTTTGTCGTTTTTCGTACCGGACACTGCGGAGTGTGCCGGTTGTGTCCGAGAGTTGTTTGGGGCATTTCATTGAGCCTAGAACTCTTTGAAATGCTAGGGTGATTATTTTTGTATTTTCAGCGCTGGACGGTCCTGTGTAGGACCCGCTGCCGGAATTTTTGCATCCGGGGATTTTGGTGGGATCCGTTTGCATCATAATCATTTTAATTAATGTGTTACATGTGACTATTTTATAGTTGGTGCATATGTATGTAATTGTGGTATAAATTGATAAAGAAAAGAAAAAAGAAAATAAAATACTTTTGGTGGGACCCACACAATTTTTATTAGGT